ACATAAATCATGTGTAATTACACAGAGGGCCCAGCAACTAAAGGTTGATAGTAATTACAGGGTGGGAGAACTCACTGCATGATTTAGGGGTAATTACACTGAACAAGCCTCATTTATTGTAGGTGTTGTCTGGGCCAGCTCCATGTGGGGCAAAACATGGAGTTGTGGGGAGCAGGGCAGTGTTTCAGGGATTATTTAGTTAATTATATTGGACAGAGAAGAGTTTTGTTCCACTGGGGTGGCTGCAGAGCCTGCTGTACCCCACACATCCTCCCCTCTCCCTGTCTGTGATCCAGGCACTCTGGATGTGGCTGTGCTGGGGTTGTTTACAAGCTGGAGCAGCTTCCAGTTGCCTAATTTCGTGTGATGTTTATTTATAGCAGGAGAGGAGCTGGGGAAGGAGGGATGTGTGTGTTCTCCCGAGGGGAGGAACATGAGTTGCATTAACACAGCACCTATTTAACAGAAAATAGAGAAATAAAAGGGACTTTGAGCACTTGGAGGGTTCCAGCAGGCTCTGGAAAGAGTAAATGAGTTAATCTGTTGTCACTGGGTCCTGCAGAGTTGAAATCCAAAGCAGTTGAAAGCTGGGAGCCAACAGTTGGTGGCATCTTCTAAACACCAGGGCTGGTCTGTGGTTCTTGTGCTGCACAGGATGGGAGAGTTTGGTTTGGCCAGGCCTGATGGCTTGGGCTGGAACTAAGGAGGTCCAGGAGGAGCTGAACCTCCTTGGAGAGGGAAGGAAAATGACAAACCTGTGGACAGATCCATGAGAAGGGACCTGTGGCCTCCAAGGAGGAAATTCAGTGGGATTTAAATGCAGAGCTGTAACAGCCACTGCTTTGGTGCAGTTAAAGAGCAGGGACACATCAGCTCTGGGTTCCCAGCTCAGAGCTTGCCCTGGAGCTCAGGCAGTGCCCAGGTTCTCCAGGATCCCCCTGCAGACATCCTGAGGGACACAAGCTGCTGGAAAATGAAGAGGCAGCAGTTGCAGCCCTTCCACACAGGGTGGGAAGAGAGGCCCGTTCTCCTTCATGCTGGTCCTTGGTGTCCTCAGAGGAGCCAGAGCTGAGGAGATTCCTGTTCTCCATGCTGGGGGTTCCTGTCTCAGTGTCAGCTCTGTCTCTAGGCTGGTCCTTGTCTGGGAGGAGATGCTGGTGCACAGGGAGCCTGAGGTAGAGCTGGAGAGGGAGAGAGAAAACTGGACACTGTAGAGCCCAGTGCTCCCTGAGCTGGGATTGATATCAGAGTCTTCTCTGAGGACTTAACCAACCCCTGCATGAGACACGTTAGTGTGAGGCTTCCATGGTTCTTGGACAAGCAGTACAGTCCAGAATTAGGCCCTGGGAGGGCCCAGCTTGGGCATTCCCAGGTCCAGGATGGTTTGTTGGAGTCCTGAGCTTTGACTGCTCAGGGCTTGGAACATGCTGGGCCAGACCCGGAGTGACAGGAGCACACACACCCCTGCAGAAACACACCTGGACTGGCATCACCTCCCCTTGTCGATCCCAGTGGCCCTCGGGATCCACTTTAACAGGGATGTGGCTCCTCAGCTCCCCCGAGGGGCAGGAATTGGGTGGGAGGAGTCGGGTGAGGAGTCAGGTGAGCCCTGCCCTGCTCCCGGCACGGGGTGAGCTGGCTCTGGGCTCTGCTCCACCCCGGGAACAGCCCCGTTCCCAGTCACTCGGTGGCTTTGGGGTGACCTCTGCTGACGATCAGGAAAATGGCTGTGCCTGGAACGTGTGAGGAAGAGGGAGGGATCAGAGGCTTTGCTCCAGGTGCCCTCCCGGTGTTAAAGCTCAGTAGGTACCTGTCTGGTACATCCCTCACCCAGGTCCTGCAGAACACCCCCCAGCCCCTCATCCCCAGCTCTCTCCAGCCTCCTGCATTGCTCTGCTCACTGCTTTTGCTTTTCCATCCTACTTTTTCCTCAAAGGCAGTAACAGAAATAGGTGGGATAATCTCAGCAGGGAACATTGTACAGCAGCCAGTCTGACAGGGCCTGGTGCCACCTCCAGCCCTGTACAGGGGGTAAGAATGGAGGAGTGGACACTTGGCTTCTGCCTCCCTGCACTTTGTGCTTCCCCCTCTCATCTCACTTTTATTAAGTATTTTTTCCCCAAGCACAGCTTTGCTGTAAAGATTCTTACACCTGATGCGTAACCTCAGCTCTGTAAGTTTTCTTAAATACAAAACCACTCCTGGGAATTTTGTCTTTCACAACCAAAACCTTCTGTCTCTAGTTCCAGAGGGGAACTGGGAACAGGCATCTCTGGTGCCTCCGCCCAGAGTCCTGCAGCCTCTCTGGAGTTGCTGAAGCTGCTTTCCAGAACCTTCCTGGGGCTGATGTGAGGGGCTGGGGACCGCTGGAAGAAAACAGTGGGACCTTGTGGTGCTCAGCACCTTGGCAGGAGGGCAGAGTGACTCCCCAGAGCGACTCCCCAATCCCTGAAGATTGTCCCTCAAATGATTTGCTCAGTGCCATCTCCCAGCCCTTTCCACCCAACATGCAGAACAGGTTTCCACGTATCCCTGACTGCCCCTTTTCTAATTCTACAGGAAAGAACCGGAGAAACACAAATAAATCCATTAAAATTTATTTATAAAATCTTCAAGTAGCCCCAGAAAATCAGGAAAATAGTTTTCTCAGTAACTTGAAAATAATCACAGGAGGTCCAACATAAAATCAGGAATTTTCTTCTGTGCTTCAGGAAAGTGGCACCCTTGACCCACAGAGAGATGAGATTAGTCCCAGTCCCAGCAGAATCACGATAATCTAGGATTTGAAATTAGTTTTGCCTCTGCCCCTGATCAGACACGGTGCCTGGTTTGTCCCTCGCTGTCCTGTGGCCCAGGGGGGACAGTTTCCACCTGCATCGTGTTGTGGTTCCCGATCTGAACCATCCGCGCGTTCTGGATCACGATCCCTCCCGGGCCTGGCACGATGTTGTAGTGGCCTGGTGGGAGCAGTGGCTGGGAATTGGGGGGACCCATCTGAGCAGGTGGGGGGTGCCCAGCAAAGGGAGGGACCGTGGGGTTGGGGGGACACCACTGTTGAGGGGATGGCTCTGGTGGCCACGGCCGTGTCGCTGCTGGAGCCACCTGGGAAGGGCGACCAAGGCTCAGGGCAGCCAAGTTCTGCTGGGCCTGCTGCCGTTCCCAGCGCAGCTGGAGTTTCCTTCTCTGCATCTGCTCCCACATGGCTTTCTTCTGACTGATCTTCTTGGGGTTGAAAGTGTTCTGCACAACCCTGGGGAACACAGGAGAGCTCTCATCCAGGATCACCAGCGCGCTGAGCATCCTGCGGATCTGACCGTGCTCCAGGGCGTTCTCCTTGGGTAAAAATGGGATGACTGAGTAGTGCTTGGATGGGTCCTGGATGGACTGCATCAGAGCAGTGTCTGTCTGGAACAGACACAGGTTGCAGGTGAAGTTCTTGGTCAGCAGGAGGATCATGAAGGCAGAGTTTTCCATGGCCTCCAGGAAGCCCCCCATGCGGCTGCGGCCGGCAACGGAGAAATCCTCGCAGAGCGTGGCCCCGTTGGACACCCCCATGCTCTCCAGCCGGTTCTTGACCCGCTGGGCAACAAGCTCATCTTCACTGGCATGCACGACAACAAACGTGAAGAACTTGCCACCATCTGGCTCTGACTCTGGGTCCACAGCTGGGAGAGAAGGAGGAGGCCAGGCTGGAGAAGGGGAAGAGTGCAGGGGAGGGGGATTGAAGTTGGAAGGAGGATCCTGAAGAGGAGGAGGAAGGGTTGAGGAGAAGGAACAGGTGGGAGGAGGAGGAGGAAGGGAACAGGTTGAAATAGAAGCAGATGTAGAGTTACAAGGAATGCCTGCTGGAATATCAGACTCTCCTGTGGATATGTGAGCAGGATCAGTCCCCACTGCAGCTCCTGGGTCAGGAAGACCAGTGGGTAATTGCTTCTCATCCTGCTTTTCATCCGTGTTTTCTCTTGGAGCAGGAGGTTCTGTCACTGTGCTGGGAATATCACTGCTCTGGGCAGGCTGGATCACAACCCCCTCTGAGGGAACAGGGAGCACTGGGTGGCAGGAACTGCCCTGCAGAACCTCCTCTGGCCGGGGCACTTGGGCACCTGTGTCCTGGCCAGGATGGGAACTGGGGCTGCTGGTCCAGCTGGATTCCTGAGGGCTCTGGGTGTCCCCATCGGGGCGTCCAGCACCGCTGGGCTGGGGGACACCCTCGGGGGGAGAAGGGTGGCTGTGGCAAACAACTGTTGGCGATGCACTGACCTCCAAACAGCTGGGCAGGGAGCAGCTCCCCGTGGAGCACAAGGTCCGTGGGGCTGAGAGCTCGGAGCTGCCTCCGATCGGCACCGGAGAACTTCTCACCACGCAGTCAGAGCTGCCCCCACGGAGAAATCCTGTGTCCTCATCGGACCTCAGCGTCCAAAATCTGTCACTTGTGCCCATGCCGGGAGCAAAGCCCTGTTTGTGCTGGTCCTCAGGTGGGATGTTGTTGAGCATTCCCCGCTGAGTGTCCTGGCAGGCTTTGGTGGCAGCCTGGCAGGCTTTGTCCCAGGCCTCGGGACTGCACAGCTTTTCCTGTGCCAACACTTTGTACACCTGTGCCAGGAGTGCCATGGCACCTGCATCCAGCTGGGGAGGCTGCACATCCTCCCCATCCTCCTGCGTTCCTGCAGCACCCAGTTTGGTCTGATGGACATACTGGGCTGCTGGGTTATCCCTCAGGGCATCCAAACAAATCCTTGCATCCGTGTCTTGCCCCAGAGTAAGCAAGACCATGGCTTGCAGTAACTTGCTGCTGGGCCCAGGTATCAGGTGCTTCAGTTTATGTTTGAGGCTCAGGAGTTTATCTTGTGGGACCTGGGAGAGAATATTAAACACGTCCTCAAAGCTTGGCTGGAGCTCGGTGCTCTGTGCCATCTCAGCAGCTGCTGGCCCAGACCATGGAATGAAGCAGCAGAGGTGGAAAAATCATCTTATGGCAAAGGTTTGTTCCCGTGTGGGGCTCAGGGATGTCCCGGGTGCACTTCTCGTACCACACAAGCTCTTGGCTGCCCAGGGCTCGTCTTGGAACTGGGATATCTCTGTCCTGGGGAACCTGTGAGGAGAACAGAGGACAATGCACAGAGGGTGATGTGGGGAGCTGAGGGGATGCTCCCGAGGCTCGTGGAGCTCCCTCACAGCTCGCAAGTATTTTTGCCTCTGTTCTGTGCTTGTGGCTCTGCCAGCGCTCCGTGCGTTATCCCAACTCTGTGATAAGCAAAGAGCACGTTCCTTACATTCATTTCACATTAATGGTGACTGGGTTTAAATAATTGCTGCAATAGTGATGTATTTGGGTAAATGTGAGTGTTTGTCTCCTCCAGGCAGCTGGTTCCAGGGGCCTCACAGGTTCCTTGTGCTGGCAGTCGAGGAATAAAAGAGGCTTGGAGGAAACCCTTTCCACCTGATAACCCGTGTGCACCCCCTGTCAGGCTGCTGATCATGGAATGCTTTGGATTTGGAGGGACTTTTAAGGTCATCCGGTTCCACCTCCTGCCATGGGCAGGGACATCTTCCACTAGCCCAGGTTGCTCCAAGCCCCATCCAACCTGGCCTTGGACACTTCCAGGGATGGGGCAGCCACAGCTCCTCTGGGCAACCTGTGCCAGGGCCTCCCCAGCCTCTCGGTGGAATTCCTTCCCAATCTCCCATCTAACCCTGCCCTCTGGCAGTGGGAAGCCATTCTCCCTTGTCCTGTCCTTCCAGCCCCCTGTCCAAAGTCTCCCTTGCAGCACCCTGGATCCTTCTCCAGGTGAACCCCCCCAGCTCTCCCAGCCTGGCTCCAGAGCAGGGGGGCTCCAGCCCTCGGAGCACCTCCATGGTCTCCTCTGGACTCACTCCACCGGTTTCACGCCCTTCTGATGTTTTGGGGCCCCAGAGCTGGGACTGGGGACATTGTATCCCCATCCCTGAGCCCCCGCACTCACCCAAGGCCTCTGACCGGGGTTTAATTAAACAGCAGAAGCGTCCGGAGCAGAGGAGCAGATTCCCGGTGGGACACCGCTCCAGGCGCTGCCTGAGCACTGCTGCAGGAACTCTCCCTGCTGCAGGAACTTTCCCTATTTAAAGGGAACCCCAGCAACTGCCCCCAAATACCTCTCGACTGTGGAAACTTTCTACTTTCAATCTCCTCGTTTCCGCTCTCATAAAAATCCTCCAATTGCCCAACGAGCGCGGAAGTTGGAGCGGGCGGGGAGGGGGGGGAGCAGCGCTGGGTCCGATCCCCGCGGGAGCCGGGGAGGGGTGGGATGAGCCGGGGAGGGATGGGATGAGCTGGGAATGGAAGGGATCAGCCGGGAAGGGAAGGGATCAGCCTACCTGCGGCCAGTCCCGGTGCCCGGGGCAGGCGGAAGCGGCGCGGGGCGATGGGCACGAACGGGGCGGAGCGGGGCGGGACCGGGGAACCGGGATAGGGGACAGCTCCTCCAGGGCTTGGGGACCGGGACAGGGGCTCGGGGAACTGGGACAGGGGGCAGCTCCTCCAGGGCTTGGGGACCAGGGCCGGGGCTCGGCGACCAGGAGACGCCAGCAGGAGCATCTCAGCCCCTCCATGAGCCCCCACCTCCCCTGACTGGACCAGCCCTGCCCGGTGCCCCCCCCATGAGAACGTGGAGGTGACACCAAAAGATTTAATAAAAAAACAACCAACCAAACAAACAAAAAAAACCCCAAACCAACCAACCAACAACAACAACAAAAAACCTCAAAAAGGCAAATTATAAGCTCCTCTTGAGATGTTCTGAGAACTTGAATAAAATCCTCGGTCAGTAGCTTAATAGATTCAAGGTGACGATGAATGAGGGAGCTTGAAAACATCTAATCCAGGTGTCATTCATGGGTCTGGGTACATTTCCTAACACTTGACTAACACAGGTGTAGGATGCTGATTAAACGCTAAGAAATGTGAATTTAGGGGGAAAAAATAAACTTGAAGCTGTGAGTCTAATAGAGAAATGTTGGTAGCAAATACACAATAAGAATGCAGTTGTTGGTGGGGGGATTCAGAGCAGTGGGGACACTGCCTCTAGGAAGTGTTGGAAGTGGGATGAGCGAGGCTGGATAGCCCAGGATCCAGAGGGATGAGGGGGAGACAGGAGTGGGACATGAACAGAAGCACCTGAGCCTCAGGCAGAAGTCTTGGGGATAAAATAATTAAGATATTTTTCTGCTTAAGAAAGCATGGGACCTGCTAAAAGCACTTTGTTTTTTTCCCCTCCAGCAGGACCAAGCTGGCCAGAGAAGAGATTTGGTAAATGCAAGCTTTGGAGCAGCTCAGGTAAGGGGAGAACTCGACACTGCAGCTTTGGGTTCACACAAACCCACACGTCTTTTAACGCAGGTCACACTTTATTCTGATGTCTGCTCAGCAGCCCCAGCACAGGGGCCATGAGAGAACACAAGTTACCAAAATAAATTACATTAGAAGTTGTTACAAAGCATTGTTGGCTGGGAAAGAACCAGCACCTGCCCACCCCCCTTTTAATAACAGGATATTCTAATCCCATGGCAGAGTAACTCCTGGGGAAACCTGCCTCGTTTGCCAGCTTAGTGGTTGTGAAGCGTTTCAGGCCTGGAGTTACACAATAACCATCCCTGGAGTCAGTCACAGAACTTTGGGAAAGATAAGCCCCTAAAAACCGTGGTGATTAAAGAAAACCCCACCCTGCTGAGTGTTTCTCCGTGAAGGAAGAAGTGTTTGGCTGATCCCTGAAGGGAAATCTCTTATTGATGAGCAGCTCCAGCTGTGCCAGCTGTGCCACATCCGGCAGAGCCTCCCCGGAAGCACAAGAGGCACAGAGGAAGTCGTGGCTGTGCCGCGTATTTTTAAACTCGGAGAAGGCGGAAAACGGTTTCAAAAGTCAAGCTCAGCATCTTCTCAAGTTTTCCACAGCTTGAGTGAATTAAAAACAAATCCAACGTTAAAAAATAAGTTGAGACAACTTCTTCTCTGCCACAGCTTGTCTCAGCAAGAATTAGCGACTCACACGTGCAGCTGGGCTGACAAAGAGCTGAAGTGCAGGTCCCATCTTCCCTTTCAGAGCAGCAGTGATTTAAAAACAGTAAATCAAGATACACAACCACCCCCCCTCAGTTATCAAATCTCCTGGCAACTGCATCTGACTGGAAACTCAGAGCAGGAGGCACTTGTGGCACAACTGGACACACGACTAAAACATCAAGTGCTGTTCTAACCAGGGAGCCTCGGCCAGAAGAGCTGGGATTTATCAGAGACCTTCCTCTGGTGTTCTAGTTTTTATCTCCCTTGCAGCCAGTGCCACCTCTGTGTCTTTCTCTGCCTCCTCCTCCAGCTTCCCTGCCTTCTTCATCTTCCCTGCCTTCCCTTCCATCTTCTCTGCCTTCCCCTCCCTCTTCCCTGCCTTCTTCATCTTCCCTGCCTTATCCTCCCGCTTTTCTGCCTTCTTCACCTTCCCTGCCTCCTCCTCCAGCTTCCCTGCTTCCTTCTCCCGCTTTTCTGCCTTCTTCACCTTCCCTGCCTCCTCCTCCAGCTGCCCTGCTTCCTTCTCCAGCTTCTCTGCCTTCTTCACCTTTCCTGCCTCCTCCTCCAGCTGCCCTGCTTCCTTCTCCTGCTTCCCTGCCTTATCCTCCAGCTTCTCTGCCTCCTTCACCTTCCCTGCCTCCTCCTCCAGCTGTCCTGCTTCCTTCCCCAGCTTCCCTGCCTTCTCCTCCAGCTTCTCCAGCACTCCATACCATTGCCCTAAGATCCTGTTGGGTCCCTCGGGCTCTCTGGGTGTCTCAGGCACCCCCTGTGATGCCGGAGCCTTTTCCAACAGGGGTAACTTTCCATCAGTCACCATCTCTCTGCTCTTCTGCTTCCTGCTGCCCTGTGCCACCTCAGCCATGGCCCTGAAGGGCCCCACAAGCCAGTTCAGAGGGATGCTGTGAGTGACATACTCAAACAGGACATCGAGGGACCTCCGGGCTTCTGTCGCACGGTCCTGGCTCTGCGTCAGGGTGATGCTGGAGAGCTCCTGGAAAGACATGGCACTGGAAAAAGAGCTGTGGAGCTTGTGGATATTTCGAGTGGCCTGATACACAGCCTCTTGGACGTTGCTGGGGAGGCCTTGGATGCTGGTTTTCAGGTTCTCATAGACAGGCTGTAGCTGCTGGGTGATGATCCTCAGCATAGTTAGAGTCCGGGACTCTACCTGCTGGGAGAGAGACAGCTCAGTTACCAGAGCAGGTGGGATGGCCACCAGCCACCTGAGGCCAGGTCACATACACCTTCCAGGGATACCTCTGGCTGGCAGGCAGTTTGAACTTGGTTTCCTTTGGGTTGGGTCAGGCACCAGTCCACCCAGAGCTGATGGAGCTTCTCCTGCCCTTCCAGCAGCTTCTGGCCAAACCCCTGTTTCACAGATTCAATCTGATGGGAAAAATGAGAGGAACAGCTGTATTGCAAGCACACACAGAGAGCCACAAGCGCTTCCCTCCCAGGGAGGGATCCAAGGTGACACGTAGCTGGTGCAGGGTGGAGGAGGAGCTTCCAGCTGGAGAGCAGGGCAGGAAGGCTACAGACAGGAGGAAAGGGGGGAAAGCGTGTTGGTACCAGTTTTATTGCCATCTGTAGTCGTGAGAGGGTGTCCTGGGTGCTCTGCCTGATGCACTGCAGCTTGTGGAGGGAGTGCTGGTAGGCTCTGAGCCGGACTCTGCTGGACAGGGACCCCAGACGCACAAAATAACTCCGCTGCTCTTTCTGCTCCTCCACGGAAACCATCCCAGACCCCTCCACGGTGGTGGCCAGTTTACCTGGAGGAAACAAGAACAGAGATGCAGCTGGGCTTCACTCCCCAGGCTGTGAGGAGGGGGGAGAGGTCAGGTCACCCGTGGGAGAACAGGAAGGTTGCTGTGGGAACAGGAGAGGTTTGTGGTCGCTCAGGTGTTAAAGGCAGTCCCTGCTCAACATGTTTTCTTCAGAAAAGCAGACTTGATGGAGAGGTTGAAGCGTGAACCCACGTGTTTATTTACCTTGAGGCTGATGGGCAAGGATCAATAAATGCTTGAACTCTGTCCCATACCACGTGGCAATTTGGTGTTGGCAAATTCAGAGCTACCTGTCTGCTTCAGAAGCTGAGTCTTGCTATGTCAGGTGCTCTCTAGTCACGTGGGAAAGGGTTTGCATTTAGAGCCGCCAGGTGAGTAGTTTTTTACCTAGTTCCTCCTCTGTCATCGGGAGGAAGTGATCCACCAGATCTTCTGACATCCCCAGGACGGATTCCACACCACCAGCCACTGCCTGGCTCACTGCCTTGGCCTTGCTTATGCTGTTGGCCACCACTGAGTTGGTCATCTCCACGCCCTCCTGGAGGGCCTCCCTGCCCTGCTCCAGGGCTGTGCTTATCTTGCTCGAGATGGTGCCGTAGGCAGCATCCAGAGCTGTACTGACCGTAGAGGTGACCACAGATTTGGTCTTCTCAACACTATCTTGAACAGCCCCTTTGGTCAGGTCCACTGCCTCGGTCACCTTGTTGGTCACCAGCTCCTTGGCACCTTGGGCAGCCCCTACGGCTGCACTGATGGTGGAAGCAACAGCAGACTTGGTCCTGTCCACACTGTCCTCCACCATGTGTTTGGTGACATCCACGGCCTCTGTCACCTTGTTGGCCACCAGGTCCTTGGCTCCCTGGGCAGCCTCCACAGCATTGACAATGGTGGAAGCAACAGCAGACTTGGTCATGTCCACACTGTCCTCCACAATGTGCTTGCTGAGGTCCACTGCCTTGGTCACCTTGTCTGTCACCAGCTCCTTGGCTCCCTGGGCAGCTTCCACAGCGTTGACAATGGTGGAAGCAACTGCAGACTTGGTCCTGTCCACTCTGTCCTCCACCACATGTTTAGTGGCATCCACAGCCTCTGTCACCTTGCTGGTCACCATGTCCTTGGCTCCCTGGGCAACCCCTACAGCTGCACTGATGGTGGAAGCAACAGCAGACTTGGTGTCCTCCACAGCCTCTGTCACCTTGTTGGTCACCAGCTCCTTGGCACCTTGGGCAGCCTCCACAGCACTGACAATGGTGGAAGCAACAGCAGACTTGGTCCTGTCCACTCTGTCCTCCACCATATGTTTGGTGACATCCACGGCCTCTGTCACCTTGCTGGTCACCAGCTCCTTGGCTCCCTGGGCAGCCTCCACAGCACTGTTAACAGTGGAGGTGACCACTGACCTGGTCAGCTTGACACTGTCCCCAACCACATTTTTGGTGAGGTCCACAGCTTCGGTGACTTTATCAGCCATGGCTTCTCTGGCCTCACAGGCGGCGTCCATGGCAGATGTCACCTTGGTGGAAACCAGCTGCTTGGTGTCTGAGAGCACCTACAGCAGAGGGAGAGGCAGAGAAAGATATTTTAGGGGATAAAGAAAGGTATGTTTCCCTCCCTGAAAAACCTTTTCCATGTGGGTTAGTTTGCTTGCAGTCTGTGGGGGAGCTGGGGAAGTCAAGACACCCATATTCACACAGACACGTTCACTCCCACGTTCTGAAGGCACCTCTGCAGCTTTCCCCAGCTGGCAGTGCCTCCTCTAACCCCTTCCAGGGACTGGCCTGACACAGCCCTGCTGAAGTTTATTCCCCCATATTCTTCTGTACCCAAAACAGGTCCATCAAGCCACAGCTTCCCCAGGAAAAGCCTTTACTCTACCTTGTCTGCTGGCTGCTGAAGGAAGGGCAAGGTGTCCTCCAGCTGATCCAGTCCTTTGCAGGCATATTCATTCACAAGTGCAACTAGGAGAGACAACAGGTACCAGTTTATTCTTTGGTTTGGGGAGGGAGTTTTGATCCTACAATACCCAGTTCAGGATACACTCATAAAAGCAAGGCCAAAAAATATAAATCACCATCCTAGGGTGGGACGTGTGTGGTTGTCTCGTTAAAAAGTGAACAAACCCTACAATTTGGCAGGTTCAAATAATCTCCACTTTGCCTTCCCAGCTTTCCAGCTATAGAATTTCCTCCAGCTGGAGTGTAGCACTTGCCCTTGGCGGGTAAAGCAATGGGTTTAAAGGGTTCAAAAGTGTTGGGATGAGCCAAACTGAGCTATATCCAAGAGGGACACTGCTCCCACCAGCTGGGATGGTCAGAACTCGGGAGTGATAGAGAAAGAAAAGGCAGTTTCTACTTTGTAACTTAAAGAAACCAAATTGCTTCTCCCAGTAACAGTTTTGTGTCCAGGAAATTCGGTGTCTAGGAGCTGCTGAGTGGGAGACCCAGCGCTAGAATGAACTAGACCATGGTGCTGTAGGAGCTGGGGATCACCCATGAAAGACCCCTCCCCACCTACTCCTCTGTTCCAAGGGTCTCTCCAGCCCCTGCACTCACTGTGTGGCTCCAGCTGGTTCAGGAGGGGCTGTGCCCCTCCGACCACACTGCCCACTGCCACGGCAGCCACCGTCTCGGCCACGTTGCAGACACCACTGAGGCAAGGGTGGGACTCCTTGGTGTGGTTGTAGGCAGAGGAGACCAGGTTGAAGGCAGAGTTGAGCAAGGGCAAGCTGGTCACTCGGTTGACAGCGCTCTGAAAGCCAGGAGAAACAGGGACATCAGAGCCCAGCCTCGAGCTGGGGGGTGAACACAGCCATGAGTCTGTCCAGAAAGGTCCCAAGGGCACAGCAAATCCACCTCCTAATCCTTCTAAAACTCAGGGTTGGGAATGCCCATCCCAAGGCCTCCACCAAGCCAGGGTTAACAGTCTGAGCTCTGGGCTCGTGGATTCTGAGTCACACTGGTTTCAGCACCAAAGCAGATGTGGAAGTAGGACCTGTAAGCTCATGTTTCAGAATCACTTGCATCACTTGAGCCAGTCCTGAAGTTCTCTGGAGCCAAACAGTTGCCTCCTGTGTTAAGGGAGTTTCGAGTTGGCCACAGCTTCGTGTGGTTTATCTTTCTGTGCCCCCAGCCTGGTTTTGGGAGGGGGGGGCTGGCAGAAGTTTTCCAGAGTGTTGTTTAGTGTTGCTCTGGCACCTACCACTTGCTGCTGCTCCTCAGCCTTCAGCAGGTCTGGTTTTGGGGTCTTTCCTGAGGCCATACTGAATTCAGCTGCAGCTGAAAGGAAAAACAAGGGTTTAACAGCCCGAGTACAAGTTCATCTCCTCCAGTGAAATAAAATCCTACCAAAACAGGAGAAAAGCAGAGGGCAACAAAGCTGGGATCCACCTTTCAGCTGTGCCAGGGGAGGATCAGGTTGGGCATCAGGAAGAATTTCCTCACAGAAGGGGTTGTTAAACGTTGCAAGGGGCTGCCCAGTGACCATCCCTGGAGGTGCTCAAGGGACAACTGGACATGGCACTCAGTGCTCTGGACAATCAAAGGTTGGACTCAGTCTTGGAGGTCTTTTCCAACCTCAGTGATTCTGTGTCCTAAGAACATCAGTGTGGCATCACTTTCTTGCAAGTGTGTGAAGGAATCTGAGGGGCTCCATGATTTATGATGGGCAAATATCTACACAGGGTCAGGACTGTGTTCAGTCACCTCCCTCAGGCCCCAAACAGCCACCACTTTAAACAGCCACCTACTTATTTTATTGCTGATAACATTGCACTGGCTAAAAGTTACAGGTTGGAAATAGGTGAGAACTGTCTTATCTGGCATGTGTTTGCTCTGGGTGGTGGGGTGACCATGGCTGGACACCAGACACCCACCAAAACCACTCCACCACTGCCCTCCTCAGCTGGGCAGGGCAGAGAAAATGTAACAAAAGGTGGAGATATAACATATATATACATATGTCATATATATAAATATAACATGGGTGGACATAAGGACAGGGAGGGATCACTCACCAATTATTGTCATGGGCAAAACAGGCTCAACTTGGGGAAAATTCATTTGTTACCAATCAAATCAGAGTGGGATAGTGAGGAATAAACCCAGATCTCAAAACAACTTCCTCCCACCCTGAAGTTGCCCAGGCTCAACTTCACTCCTGAGTTCTCTACCTCCTCCCACCCAGCAGAGCAGGGGGACAGGGAATGGGGGTTGTTTATAGCCCCTTTCCTCTGGAGTATCCTCTGCAGTGGACATTCAGATGAGTTACTTTGGAGTCACCCCCCTTTGCCTGTGTTGATAGTAAAGGACTTTTTTCCAGCTTCTCCAGCACTGCCAACTCCAACACCACTGGCAGGCTCAGGGCTCTGGGATGGACATGAAAATCCTGTGGAGTTCTCCCAGGAGGATGAGCCAGGTTTCCCAGCTGCAGCATTCCAGCTTGAATCTTGCCTTCCCATCCTACTAAACAGGAAATCTGTCCTCACTTCCTGTGAAACCAAGGCTCAGAAGCATTTTCGTGACATAACGGGATTAAAGAAGTGTAAAATGATGCAATAATTTAAATGTGTGTTGGCCTCCCCAGCACAGACCTCGGTTGGTATCTGGACACTCCAGTATTGGCAATAAATCCAGGATTGCTGCTCAGCCTTAGTCAGGCACAGCAGGGATTTGTGCACATTTGTTCTTCAGTACAGAGTCTGCTTTCCTCTCCTCTACCAGTTAATTCCTATTCTTAGATTTGCTGTAGCATTTTCCAATGGAAAACCCTCAAACCAAAATTCCTCCCAGACTGGATTCCCAAGCCACACGTTGCTCCAGGCTCCCTGGCAGACTCTACCCCCCAAAAAACTTGCCATCTGATTCATGGCAGAGCCCATTGTCTTGTTTCTTGTGTTTCTTTGCCTCGTGTGAGGTTTTTATTTTGCTGAGAAACGGGAACAGAGAGCTGTGGAGAAGCAGTGAAACCAGCAATTGTGAGCCCTGGGCTGGGCTCTGACACTGGCCAGAGACATCTCAGGAGGTGACTTGGCAAAACATCAAATATTGCTGCATTAACCACTCAATCAGTCAGAATTCAGTGAGATTTGAGCAGGGCAGGGATGCAGAGTGGTACAGCACAAGTTGTCACCTCCAGCCCCTTCCAGCCAGGAGCCAACACTCCTCTGGGAATCCCACCTCATTTAACTGCACAGCAAAAGCAGCTTGAACTTCACCAGGCTGGGAGAACTTGCAGAAAACTGCTCCCAACAAAGCAGGGCTTGAATGTAAAATCTCAGTCCCCAAGTCTGGGGTTTGGTGTCGGTGGTTGTTCCTCTTGCTTTGCTTTCAGGCAGGTTTGTTGTTTGAGTCCAAGCAGGCTGGCTCAGGGGCAAAGCACAGCTCTTTCAACACCACCACAAACAACCCCTTTGCTCAGTTATTTTACTTCCAGACAGGTGGGAAAAGCTCAAACTGTGGAGTTTGACACTGTGGTCTTGGTGTCAGGGTCAGCACAGACAGGGAGGAAGAGGAGAGGGTGGAAATCAGAAATAACTCCTTGGCTGATATAAAACCTGATAGGAGGTTAGAATCCACCTCTGAAGTACAGAGGATTAATTATGGATGCAGCCTTGCCAGGGATAATCCTTCAGCACAGTCATGTCAGAACAAGGTTTGCTCTCTGTGTAGGAGAAATCCACGTGTTGCAACACCAGGATTTGCAGTGTGGGCAAATCTCCCCAAACCCACAGCGTGGTTTTATTTTCTCTTTCCCCTGCAAAAGTGCTGAGCAGCCCTTGTTTTGCTTCAGAGACTGCAGGAAAACACAGTGCTTGGCAGCTCTGGGTCAGCTGGTCCAGAGGGCACAGCCAAGGCAGGATTTGGCTGGGAGTGGAAGTCCCAGCAGGCAGAGGAGCAGGAACAGCATCACTGGTTGCTTTGGTTGTGGTTTGCTTCATATGAAAGTGAGGAGCAGATGATTTCACACCATTGCTACATCAGAAATATTAGGTCACTGCTGGAGAAAGTTTCAGGGAGATGAAACTCTGCAGTTGCACTTTTCTGGGATCAAGGGCTGAACTGCTGGTTGTTGCCCAGTTGGGCACAGGTCTGAAGTCAGTGAAAGAGCAAGGGCTGGCACCAAACAGCAGGACAGTGGCACCAAACAGCAGGACAGTGGCACCAAACAGCAGGACAGTGGCACCAAACCCACCCAGCTGCTCCATTTCCCTGCTCATCCCACACTGGCCTGGCAGAAGAGCCAGGAACTTTCCTGCTGGGATCAGCACCTCCCTGATTTCTCTCACTCTGACCAGTGTACACAGAGCTGGTTCTTTAACTCCCTTTGGCTGAAGGGTTCCTATTTTCCCTGTGGAAATCAGCTCTGCTCCAGGAAAACAGGCTGCTGGTGTGTTGTCCTGCAGACCCCAGTAGGATCTTCATGTTCAGGAAGCTTTTCTCCCTTCCAAAGGGATTTTACCTTGGGAAGACAGAGCCCCAGCCAGGGTGGCTGGTTGAGTAGCTTAATTGCTGATTCCTTATTGACCATCGAGGAAAACAAAGCTAAATTTAGTGCTTTAGATCCAAGCAGGGAGGGCTAATCAGGGCAGAGGTATTTGTGGTTAAAGCACTCACCTACATTCCTGTCGAGATTTGCCACTGATACCCCAGTTCCCAAAAATGCAGAACTGGGTCACAGGATGTCTGTGGGGAATGGGCTGCAAATGCTCCTGAGGGCAGAGGCTCTTTTAGGAGGAGCATCCAATGGTTTCCAGCTTTGGCCTCAGGGCATTAGTTCCAGGGTGACTGGCAGAGGTGCCCCTCTCACCTTTCCAGATAAACCAGCAGCGTTAGGGAGCCTCAGAGATCAAAAAGCCACCTCTGCAGATCAGGCAGGGCTTCCCACACACACCCTTCCCACAGGAATTAAACACCACAACCAGTGGCCATCACTGGGTCAGTCACTCCTTGGAAAAGAGATATTTTAAGGAAGATGAGAGGAAGTTTTAATGAAAACAGCTTCTCAGCACTTCCCACTTCCCAGTTTTTCCAGGAGGACAGATGTCTTGGTTTCAGCTGGAAGCTGTAACTTGCAGAGCAAGCAGCTCAACACATTTCCAGCTGGAAGTTTCAGCAGAACCAGCTCCAGTAATTGAAATCCTTCCCAGTCATCCCCAGTCCCGGGTAGTCACCACCACACTGAAAACCCTGTTAGTCTTGAGAAACACTGATCCAGTTTGCCAGTGCTCCCTCCAGGGATTCCTGCACGGCTGCAGGGACACGGGGCTCTTGAGCAAGAGGTTCAGTCCCCTTGTCACCCAGCCACCCCCTTCCCAAACACCATTATCGTGCCTGCACCAAAGCATCATGTGAAAGGGCCCCGGGCAGTGCTGTCACAGGAAGGGAATGCCCGACTGATCACCTGCCCCCTGCAGCACCCACTGCTTCCCACACCATCACCGGGGTGTCCCTCACGTGCTGCCCCTGGCTGGGAGTCACCCCTGGGATCTTCAGCGGACAACAAACAGAAAAGAGCTTTTAAACCCGAAACTTCTGAATCACAGATCCATGGAGTTACCAGAGCTAGGAAGGAGCCTTTGGGGACGGATTTGAGTCCCAGGATGGTTTGGGTTGGAAAAGACCTTAAAAATCATCTCATTCCAACCCCCAAGCCTTCCAGCCTTTCCCCAAGGCACACAGACACATCGTGACACTGTAAAATATCACCTTTGGCCTCAAAAAGCCAAGACCCCCAAATCCCCAGAAAGCAGCAGGGACACAGCACCCGGTTCCATGATTTCCCAGGGAGCTGGAAAAGCCCTGTGGGCACACACACAGCCCCCCAGCAGCTCCCCGGGGCCAGGAGCCAGGGGCTGGAGGGATGGAGCCAGAACCACCACCAGATCCTTTGCAGCGAGGGCTGCAAAGAGCCCTCCGAGAAAGGGGCTGCAGAACCCCTGCGAGAGCAGAGGCAGCCTTGGGGAGTCCCCCCCAGCCCCAAGACAAGTCACAAACCCCACACAGCCCCCACCCGCCCCTCCTTGCACTCCAGCCCAGCCTTACCTGGCTCAGCCCAACCTCAGCAGCTCCTCCGCTCCCGGCACTGGCAGGACTGGGAGCACTGGGCGTCGCCCCAAATAAATACCCCACGGGGCTGATGGGCGGCTCGGGGAGCCAATTGGGAGGCTGCAGGTGCCACCCTGGCCAATGGGGAGGGGGTGGGAGAGGGAGGGGCGGGAGGTGGGGGGGGCAGGGGAGGGTCTGGGGGTCCCTCAGAGCCCT